TGGCCTCAGCTCGCCTGGTATGTGCAGTTATTTTGAAATAATTAGGTACTATAACTGTAGGAGAGTAACGATTTATACAAAACACCTGCAAAATCTCATAATCATGTCTTTTGATAGTTCTACTTTGAAAACATGTCATTGGCCCAAAGAAATAAAAGTATTTTCTGTAGACAAAAATAAATAAAACTATGATAATTGGCATTTACACCTTATAACACACAGCTATCCACTGAAATATAATGACTCCTTGCTCTGCTAATTCCACTGGCCACAGAGTTACAAAACAGTTTTCTTCACTGATCCATCAGGGAGTATATTTAGGACAATAAACAAATGTAAAACTCCGTATGTGTCCTTGTCAGGCTCAGGGAGGTTAAAAAAAAGGCCCACCCTCACAGCACTTCATGTCCTACACTGTTACATCTGGAACCCTTACAGGACCAGAAATGCTCTTAAAAACAAAGTTTAAGCTCTACTTGTTTCCAGTTTTTCCTAATTTCCTTGTGTTGAAACAAATACTTTTAGCATAAATTATAGATGATATAATAGCAAGAACACAATCTATAAGTAAAATAGATTTTATTTTTTCCAATAAAAATATCACCCCAAATTTGGATATTTTGGATTACTTGACTCTTCAGCATTTATTTTCATGCCTTAAACTGGCTTCATGGTAAGAACCTACTGTCCACAGACAGACCACCCGCTTTCCTGACCCCTGACACAGGATTTGGCTCTATGTGGCAGATTCACCACTGGACCCCCAACCATGTCACTGAAATGTTAGAAGCCCAAGAGACATGGACCTCATGTGTGCAGAGGAGGGGGACAGGGGCACACAGCTGAGATCATTGCCATCTGAGTAGAGACAAAGTTCAGGAATGAAAGACTCCACTGGAAAAAACAGGACAATGTCAAGTTTTTAATAACTTACCAGGCCAGTTTCTACACAAAACCTCTTTCAAGGCAAAGGAAAAGGAAGGAAAGGCCCATAGCCAAAAGACCAGAGTTGTCTGAAGTATTCAAACAGATACTAGATTCACCAGTGCCCGCTTTGGAATACATGAATAATGGTTGTAGCACATGGCAAGGAAAATGCACAGGCTACATTTTATCTTCAGGTGCCAAAACTTAAAGACACGTGTCTACGAGTGAAGAGGAAGTACTGGAAATGTGGTTTGAAAAGCCTAAGAAAACAGTATAAAGAGAGGGTGACTTGGACATATTTAAAAACAAGGTATCAAGAGTTTTAGAAATAGTACATGAATGGATGTTGGTCCTAAGAATAGTCTAAGGAAGTACAGGGAGAAATGAAATACATCCCAAGGTCCAAACCACCTGGCAAATAGACTTCTGATTAAGGGAGGAATACAACCCAGTACAGACAACTGGGCACCATTCAAAGCCCAGCATGAATCCCACCCTCAAGCTCCACAAATGGCCTACGGCCTGAGAAATCTAGAATTCTGCTACTAATTCATCTTATTTTAAAATAAAAGTAAAAATTAAAGGACTAGAGGTATAGGTCAGTGGTAATATGGTAACTTCATACATATAAGGTCCCGGGTTTGGTCCTCAGCACCACCAAAAAAGGAGAGAGAGAGAAAGACAGAGAGAGAGAAAGAAGGAAAAGGGGGATGGTAAGAAAGGGGTGGGAAGGAGGAATGGAGGAAAAAAAGAGGGAAAAGTAACGGTGAGTCTCTTCCGGTACCAAGTGCGAATCCTAGTGGTCAGTCCAGAAAGAGAATGCAGAACTGGGGACGGCTCCTGAGAACTGGGCATCAGGAAGTCCCGAAGTGCATCACACAAGGCCAGTGCCCCACTGTTCCTGAGACCTCTTCATGTACTGTCCCGTGCCACCCGGTGCAAATACGTAACAGGAGGCTCAGCCCTGCCTGGCGCCTCCAAGTACTCCAGTATGAAATTTCCACTTAGGGGCTCCTAGCCGCGTCAGGCAGAACCACCGGCACCACAAGCAAAGTGCGTGCGCAAATTGAGAAAGAGCTCTGCCACATGTTCCCTCACAGGACACCATTTTCCAGATGCTCTCACCAGCACCTGGCTCATGTCCCGTAACCACAACACAGGAAACTCCTGGTCTGAGATGCGCTACCAATTGTGAGCTGCATAGTAGTTAGCAATGGGGCTCTAGGCCATATTAGAAATGTCTGAAATAACCAATCTCAACTTGCCCATCAGAGGAAAGAAAGCTCTTTAATGCCCCTTGAGAAGACCCAAAGGGTTCATAAGAGGAACCAATAATAGGACCAGTTACCTCCTCTCTCTACATGCCTTCTGAATCGTGGCGCTTCCAAAGCTAAAGCAATAAAAAGGGGAAGCCAGTAGTATAACTCATGGTTGGGAGGCAGCTCATTCATTGGGATGGTTAATCTTGATCTCAACTTGGCTGCATTGAGAAACACCTATGAAATAACTGAAGTACACTTCTGGATGGGCTTATGAGGCATGTCCACAATATGGGAGTGCAAACTGACGGGAGAGACTTGCCCTGAGTAGGGCAGCACCATCCAGTAGTGGACTGATCAGAAGCAGCAGGAAGAAGTCCACTAGCACAGCTCTCTGGCTCACTGCTCTGTCTCTCTTCCCCATTGCCATGAGGTGCCCAGCTTTGCCCCACCACATCCGCCTGCCATAACGTTCTGCTTTACCTGAGAAAAACAACATATAGGGGGAAAAATTTATTTTTCTCAGGTATTTGTCACAGCAATGCAAAGCTGACTGACATACTCACTTAACATAATCATGGACAAGCTTAAATCTAACAGGTAGGAAACTTTTGCACTTCAGAAGCTGCTGATTGTTTTTCAAATATTCCCCTCAAGAAGACAAGTGCCTTTTCCTGCCCCTGCCTGTGGCATCACTGCGCAGAATAAAGAACAGTTAATAAAGCAAAATGCAGAGGAATAAGAGAAAGGAGAACTAGAGAACCAGGAAGGGGCACACACAGGAGCTAAGGTGAAAAATGAGGCAAAGGTCATAGGAGAAAGGAGCGGGGCATGAAGGCAGCAGAAACATTTACCCTTTTATAAGTTCTGAATTGTGTGACAAGCACAAATATTACTTACACAAAGGTCTAGCGTGAAGTACAAGTAAAATAGAGTCTGCAGTCACAACATGAATTTAACATTAGCTGAACATAAGTGTAAAACATAAGTAGCTCTTTGGGTGGCAGAGTGAGAGGACTGGGGATATAGTATACAAAAAAATAGTAATGTAAAGACATCAAAGAACCGCAGGAATAGACAATGCAAAGCTACATGATGTGCTGCTGAGCTGCCACCACATGCCAGCATTAAAGCAGCCTTAAATTGCCTATGTGCAAGTTTTCTTTCAAAATAAAAATTATAATCATTATCTGTTTAACAATGCTTCCCAACAAGCTGTGCAAAACATTAACCTGACCATCACACTAAAACCTTCAGACAATAACAACAAAAAAAAATCAAAAGCCATTAATAACCTCGTAAGCGCTGCTTTTTATCACTTGGCACTGAGTTGGGTTATTTTTGTCACATAAATGTTTGATTTCTGAAAACTTTCATGGCAAGAGAATTAACTGCTGAGAAAATAAAGACCTTATATAAAAGCCATTAAAATATTTTTAGGATCATAAAAATAAACAATTACAACTGTATACTAAGTTAAAGCAGTATCAGTAACAGTTTCCACTTAAATTATAGTGAGGACTATGTTATTAATCTCTGTTTCCATCACTTTTGCTGTGAAACCTTTGGAAATCCTTTCTTGGGTACCTTTACTCCTTATCCCTGCTGTCTCAGTAACAGTAGTGATGCTTATAAATGTATTTTTGCTTGCAGAAAATACACTATAATTTTATGTGTGAGCTTGGCTAAGCTATAGTAACCAGTTGTAAGAAAACATTAATTTAGGTGCTTATAGATATTTTGTAGCTCTTAAGATCTACAATAAATTAAGGAAAGGAAATTACCCTCCAAAATGTATATGACGCTCATCCAAGCAGTCTAATTCATTAAGAGCAAAAACTGAGGTTTCCAAAAGAAGAAATTCTGCCTAAAGCCTGTAGCATTAACTCCTATCAGTCTCCATGCTCAAGGCCTGCACTACATATTTCTCACTTGACACCACCCAAATGAATGAGACTATACCTTGAAATAAATCTCTTTTCACATATATAAGCAATATCCTGCTGGCTTGATTTCTCTGGAGCCTCTGACTGATGCACACCCAGTCAGCAAGGCTTCCTACACATACGTCTCTACACCAGCACTCCAACCTTTTTGATGTATGATCCATACCTCTCTTGGCCCTACTGACACACGTATGGCCGCCCTTACCCTCCTCACAGAAACTGTCAAATATAATTCTTGGAGCCCAATTTTTCCAAATTTTTGTTCCAACAGTCTCTGTACTTCTACTTTCCTACTTCTATCACTCAGGCCCTTCTTTTAATAACTTGCAAAGAATATAATAAGCCAAAGCTAAGATGGAAATTCTCATAATATCCCCTTCAATATACAGATCCCTACATAAGAGAAACCTTGGCCTGCAAATACAATGCTGCCCACAGGGTCAATGTTTCTTAAATACACATTTTTAAAGGCAAGGTACAGTTTAATGATGGATGCTTGCTCCCATACAGAACTCACACTTGTTTCTGCACACCTGGAACTGACATGAGTAGACAAAAGTTAAAGGAAAAAAATATAATCTCATTTTCAGAAATCCAATGCTAAACCCAGCACACGATTTTGAAATCCAGATAATTTGTACATGCAAAACTTTTTTCAACAATGAATTATAAATTTCAGAGTTCAAAAAGAATTGTCTAGCAATATATTTCAGCAGTCTAATGTTTTTAGAATGCCTCAAATTTAAGACTTTGGGATAGTTAAAGCACTCTGCTGGAATCAGAATCAATACAGATGGCCTCATAATTCCATTGAGGAGTATAAAGAGGAACAAAGTTTTAAATATTAAAATAACAGCCCCAACCTCACCTCCCACATCAGCCTGTAGTCCATATTTTCATCCAAGTCTTCAGGCATCTTCTTCTCTCCAGCAAAGGGTCCAAACTTTTCACCCTGAGTGGCAATGATGACATTGAAAGAGGATTATCATCAAGATGTTAAAATACACAACTTTGTATCACCTAGAAGTCTGTTCTTCTAAATCTTCAAGACTAGTGATCGAGATAATTTTAATCTTAAAACTTTACACAGCATCAAATATTGACAAGTTTAAAATCCAACTCAATCTTTTATTAGCCTAAAAACCTGAATCCACAAACACAGGAGCCAGCATAAAAGGGTTAAAATGCTTAACTTTCAAATTCTGGAAAGGCACTGAACACTGTACTTCATATGCTGTAATCGTCTTCATAGCTCCCGGCAAGTGGTCTTAAAATGAAACACACTGAGTTTTGCCTGACTTGAGAGACAAGCCCACCAGGCAGAAAATCACCTGGTTTCTATAAAAATCATAAATTCATCCCTATTTTGCACAAGAAAGAGTAGGCTTGACATTCTCAAAGGAAGATTGTTCATAAATAAAATTCAAAGTCGCCTGCCAATCTTTCAAACAGCCAGGCGGATATACTTCACCAGGATTTCTGCAAGTGTGTGTTTTAAAGTCCACTGCACAAAGAACCACCACGGCTGCTTGTTTCAAGTTCAGAATGCTGGGCCTTGTTAAAATCAGAACCTGGATATGGGATAGGGGAAGCTGCATGTGAACAAGTACTCTGGTGAGAGCTACCGGCTTAGTCCCTCAAAGTGTAAACTGGGAGTAGGGATCCCAGCAGTCTGCCTTGCAGGGACTGCTGGGGCCACAAAATGGGCAGGGACACCTTTTTTTCCTTTCTAAGGGGACCAAAGGAGACGCTGCAGATCCAGAGGGAACTGGTGGTACGTGTCCGTTCAAACATTAGGTATACAGAAATGTACACAGAATTACTTGGGTCCATGTGAGCTCCCTTCAAAGCTGCCTGTGACTATTTTTCAGTAGAATCCTTCCCTTTGCATGGAGCTGGAAGAAGGAAAAAACAACAAAATCTCCAGGGGAACTTCTGATGAACACTGTTAGCAGGGAAAACCACTAATGTAATGTTTCAAGGAATATAAATTATTTAATGAACAACAGAAAACCCAACTTCTGGGAATAGTAAACTTTTAAAACTTAAAAGTACTACAAATAGAGAACCTAGTCCCCTCATCCTGCAGATGACAAAAGAAGGTCCTGAGACGCCACCAACAATGGCAGAGCCAGGGAGATCCCTTCTGTAGGTTAACCCGACAGGCAGAAAGTACAGAGACTTTGCTTGTTTTTTTTTTTTTTTTAATTCAAATCCAGATTGTAATTCTAAGTAACTCAAACACAGATACACAGAGAAACAGACTGCTGATTACTTACAGAGATATAGAGATATTAATGTGAAACACAGAAAGCAAATTTAGGAGAAGCTGGATGCCTACTTTACCTCTCCATCCACCCTACAGCCACTGCATACTAAAGTGGGCTCCGACAGGCATGACAGCCCCAAAGATGCTTTCTTTAAAAAGTAACCATTTCATACAAGATGAGATTTAACCAGTATTCAATGGCAGGTAAGTAAATCTGCATACAAAATAAAAGAACAAGCACAGGGAAGTAATGCTACTGAACTACCAAATGTTGCACTTCAGATGATCCCTGATGGACATCTTCCTATTGTGGCTTATGTCTAGATGTCCCCCATGCAGTCATGGCTGGGGCTTTTTCAGAGGTGTTAGGATCTGGAGTATGTGGCCTGGAATTGATTCATGGTGCAATGCTAAACTCAAGGACACAGGAAGGCTTATGGGTGTGAGTATTACTCGCCCTAAGTAGTCTGGATAAGATAAAAGCAGCAGAAAGAACCGTGGTGGTCCCTTGCTTGCTTTACTACTTTCTGCCCACCACACACTATTGCTCCTCTGTGATGCATGTTTGTCTGCCACGCCACTCTGCCTTGAAGCTAGCTGCTTCTGGACTGAAACCTCTACAAATAGAGCTAAATAAACTCAGCAATGAGGAAAGTAACTAAGACACCTATGTTACAACTACACAAACTGAGGTGTGCAGTGAGACTCGGTCTCAAAAATAAAACAAAACAAAAGAAAACTGAAGCTCAAAAAGTTTAAGTAACTTAGTTAAGATCAGTCAGCTAGCAAAGACATGGGAATCTTTGAGACAGGGTCAGGAACCAAAGGCTTGTTCTGAGTGAAGAGCTCAGGCACTGTCTATACTACACCACAGTACAGAAGCCAACAAATATGCCCACAGACCACTGTCCAGCAGGCCAAGGCCACCGTTCTCAGTTGCCCTCTGATTGTGTGCCAAGTACCCACATTGTGCCTTGCTTAAAGTAGACGCTCAAAACACTGACTGCTGAAGCAATGAAACAGTGAACTGAATTCAAAGTTAATCTGGAAAAGTGACCAAAAACTATGGTGCATTTTTTGAAATTAATTCGGAGTTTTGATATTAGCAGATGCAGCTCAACTTTCAGTCCACTGTATGGTGTATTTTGTCTCCCTCAAATATTGCAGAAGGTAAGGCTACACATTCTCTGCTGCAACCAATCTACTCAAGCCAATCACACGGTTCCTCTTTGCAGTACAAATTTGGAGGAAAAATTAAATTCATCAGTTCAGCAACATTACCAGGACTAAGGAGAGAAGAATGAAAACCCAATAATGAAAGGACATCAAGAAAAAAAGCCTGGGGGCTGGGGATTTAGCTCAGTGGCAAAAGCGCCTGCCTGGCAAGCGCAAGGTCGTGAGTTCGGTTCCTGGTACCGGAGAAAAACCAAAAAAAGAAAAAAAGCCTGGTTGGATGCAGGCTTGAGGTGTTATAGGTTGGATCTTAGCCCTGTGGGTATCATGGTAAATTTTTAGAAAAGGCAATTATGGGGGTATGTAATGCCTATATTTATTTTTTAGGAGAATTTCTATCATTGAATTATTAATTTTAATAACATGAGTTTTATTAAACAATGTGTACTTAACAGAAAAATAAAATATCTATAAAATAAGACACTAAATTTTTAATATGTAATGAGTGTATAGGATAAGCATCAACATTTCTATATCAACTGTTTATCTGCTACAAAAGCTACAAAATAACAGCAGAAATAAATTCCTATGTGAGCTACAATGAAAATAACAAGCAAAACTACATTTCAGGAATACTCTTGGCTTCAGTTATCACATCTACAGCAGTCTTCACACACATGTTCCATGCAAAAGTATCAGTTACACTGACAGTGCATGTGCTTTCCTTTCCTGTCTGGCAGGCCATGTTTGTCACCTCTCTTGTCATCCTCTTTTGTCAGGAGCTTTCTCTTGTATTATACAAAGTGCACTTAGCAAGAAAATACTATCAATAAAATAAAATATCAACTAGATACTGAGTTCTTAGAATAAATGTCAACATTTTTATATCACCTGTTTGCTTACTAAAAAATAACAGCAGAAACAAATTCCTATATGAACTACAACAAAAATACAAATAAAACTCTATCACAAAAATAATCTTTACTTCAATTATCACATCTAAGGCAGTTTTCACACATGAGAACAGTATGTTCCATACGCAAGTCTCACATACACTGACAGCACATGTGTTTTGTTTTCCTGTCTTCTTTGGTAGGACATACTTAACATCTTGCTGGTTTGCCTGTTTCCTTAGGAGTTTCTTGTGATGTTGTGCCTGTCTTTTTACCAGTCTGCTCCAGAATTCTTTTGTGGAATTATTTGGGAAGATGCATACTGTTCTTCCTCTGTTGTAATTCATCATTATCAGTTCCAGTCCAAATCTTCTTAGAAAATTTCTCCAAAATATTTTGTGCTCGATATTTTCTTTCTTTCTTTTTTTTGGTTTTTTCCCAGTACCAGAAATTGAACTCACGACCTCGCGCTTGCCAGGCAGGCGCTGTGCTGCTGAGCTAAATCCCCAGCCCCTGTGCTTGATATTTTCTTTGTAACTATAAGACTATTTATGCTTGACATGTCTAGGATTGGGAAAAAACACAACCATTGGCCAACATTTTGTGTTTCAAGTGACACACTTAATAATTGCTTGTCAAAAACCTCTGCCTTTCAGTTTGTTGTAAAATGTGACCATTTCTGGGTTTAGTTGTGTTGAGGATTCACTAGCATCTTTTTCAGTGATTTGTTTGTTTTGAGACAGGGTCAGGGTCTCACTACGTAGTCCAGATGAGCCTTAAATTCATTACGTAGCACAGGCTGACCTTGACTTTACAGGATCCTCCTGCCTCACCCTTCTGAGTATTGAGATCAGACATGCAGCACAATCCCTGGCCTCACTGTCAATCTTATCATCATGGTATAACATTGACAGTACCAATGTTACTTTATTTTACTTTATCGTATAGGAGGTCAATGTTATGTATTTCTGGAATCCAAAGATTGTACTATACATTTTTCTATTGTGAACTTGGAACATTTTCCAGGAATCTCAATTTTGCTATTGCAAATAGCTCCTGGACTGGTCAACTGGTGATCTTTTAGCAAACATAACATCAGTGGGTAACCAGTGAACCAACTGTCAAATGTGACATTTGGGTTACTTTTTGAAATAGGTGCAACAAGACAACAAGTCTGTTCAGAACATCATACAGTTTATTATGGCATGAAGAAACACCTGATGCCTGAGTTCAAGGATAAATTTCTACATTCAAGGTGTAAAATGTCTCCACATTTACCAGAGCATATATTTTTATAGCATAGTTGGAAGATTCTCTTGGCATATGTTGCCAAAAGCTTCAACAACCACAAAATGATGCCAGTTGTTCATCAATTGTCATGTATTTGGGTGGTGTATAAATTGCTTGTCGGTTTGAAACAAAGCTTTCAAAAACTGCGCAAGTAACAGCCAAATGGTCAAGATGTTTTCTTTCTTGGTAGGTCTTTTTGTCATCAAAACATGGTCAACTTTGAAAGAAACCAAGTCTCTCGAGTGTCATTATTGTTCTAAAAATCTCAATGCCACATCTGTCACCTCTCCATAAATCCTTTAGATTCTATTAGAATGATAAAAACCT